TTAAAACAGAAGGTGTAATCTCAAATATCGCTTTTGATTCGATTGTTTTGCACCCAAGTGTATTAACTTAAGTTAAAGGTATTTTATACTAAAATCCGGAAGTAATAATGTTTTTGTTTATTTTTTCTTCGTTGTCTGGAGTGATAGTTTTAAATCAGATTTATGCAACTGATTTGTAAAATACGATTATCTCGAAAACTGTAAAGTTTTGAAGTTATTAACAAATATACCTTTTTTTTAATAATGTATCTTTAATATTTTTTGCCACAAATAAAAGTAACTTAAAGAGCAAAAAATTTAAGAGCAAATTTATGCCACATATGTAGCGCCCTCTATTAGCTGCATAAAATTATAATTTCTCATATTTAAAAGTACCCAGTTGAAAATTTTTATACATAAATGTTTACAAACATGAAAGTTATAGCGAAAAACAAAATTTTAAATTTGCACTTTAACACCCTGTATTTTTCTTAATATCAACATATTATTAAAGCAATTTGGCTTAAATCGTAATATGATAAAGTAGTGTGGAATCTACTATTTCTTTTTGTACAATTATTTAAGGACTATCCTGTATATATATATATATATATATATATATATATATATATATATATATATATATATATACTCGACGCGGCTCTGTATTTGTGGTTCTTTCAAAAAAGAAGCGAAGGTGTTCCTTTGTCTAGACCAATTGTTGCCGAAAAAGCGTTGTTTTTCAACTTGAAATTGAAATTCTGGCGATCCTTCATTCAAAGGAAGCAGCGGTTAGTTGGAAAAGTTCAAAAATCGCCACGGTAAATGGGAACTGAAAATCGAAGGTAAAAAATTGAGCGCCGCAAGTATTGAAATCGTTGACAACTATAAAAGAAAGTTTCAAGCTTTGATCGATGTATATGGTTTGACACGCGATCAAGTGTTCAATACAAATTAAATTGTTTTAAACTACAAAGCATTGCCAACGAAAATACTCGCTGCACTGTCTGAAAAATATGCACCCGGATTTAAAACGCAAAAGCAACGAATCACAGCAATGATGTGTTCAAATGAAGTGATGAACATCGCCTTCTTTTATTATTGATTGGTACAGCAAAAAACACGTTGTTTCAAGGGCATAAATATAAACACGCTTTCCGTTAACTACTACGCACAACATAATGCATGGATTGTTTTTTAAGTTTTTATATCAGACATTCGACAATACTTGCAAGCAAAAAATTTGCCACCAAAGGTGATTCCCATTTTGGACAATCCACCTGCCCATCCTGAAGCCGATATGGTGCGAAGTGACGATGGAAATATCACGTGCTCTTCTCTGCCTGCGAATACAACATCATTGTTACAGCCAATGGATCAATCGGTCATTGAAACATTCAAAGAAGATACAGAAAAAAATTTATTCAAAACCTAGTTATGGAAGAGGAATATTCTTTGCCAGAATACTGGAAACCATACAATTTAAAACACGCAGTCGACAATGCTGTGGATGCTTGGGCTGATGTTTCGTAAGTAACGCTGAAAAGAGCGTGGAATAAATTATGCCCTGAATCAAATCAAGATGAAAATGCCCCCAAGACAGCCGAGCGTGATGCGGTAACAAATGAAGTTATGGCTGTATCAACTGTTGTGTTTTCGTTGCCTAAAGATGACATAAACGAATGGTTAATATGTACGACGTAAACGGCTATCGATTGCTGACAGATGATGAAATCGTTGAAATGGCAACAAAGGCGGACGAAACTGATTCAGAAGCTGACACAGACTTTGACGGTAACCACGTTGATGATGCTATTGCAACTCACAAAGATTTGCGTAAAGAAGCTGTATCGCACATACAACAATTCATCGAGTAGTATTCTCGGCAAGAAGAAGCAAATAAGGTAGATTTGATGATTTCTTGTCGATTAAGAAATTCAGCCATTGCAATGGCTAAAATTTACCTTATTTTAACGATAACAGCTTTTTGGATTGTGATAAAAATGTGCTGATGCAGCAGTTTCCTAATATTAATAACTTGTAATAAATAAATAATATTCCTAATTGTATGTATAGATTTTTAGATTTTGCTCTGACTAATATAGATGTTTGTACTGTGGCAAGATTTGACTGTCCATTAGTGGCTGAAGGTTCGTATCACCCCGCTCTCATCTTCAGTATCAGAGTAAGTGAAAGAGCTAATTTACCAAACAACAAAAAGTTATATACATACAACTATGCTCAAGGTAACTACTGGCATCTTTTTTATTTAATTTTTCAGTTTAACTGGTCTTCATTATTCTTATATAAGAATATTAAAAATGCTTTTATTGTTTTTTTTACTCAAATGTACACCTTTTTAAATTGTTCTATTCCTAAAGCCAAAAAAGGGCCAGCAACTCTACTTCCAGGTTTCCAAACTAAAATATGATTAAAACAATTAAAAACCAAACCAAATATGAGCATATATATATATATATATATATATATATATATATATATATATATATATATATATATATATATATATACCGGTATTTAGGCGGTACGCCCTTCCGGCAGGGATCTATGGAGGAGTATCACCGAGCCACAAGCCCTTATCTCTTGCCGTACTGCTCCACCATAGGCCGATCAGACACCAGCATATTCTGGTCTAAGCCGCAGATTCATTTCGAATTTTAAACTGCTGCGTTAGCCTTTTTGTTTTCTGTACACCGAGCTGGGGATCGAACTCACATCCACTGAATCATTCGAAGCGAAGCGAATGAGAAACCGGCCGCCCAGGCCGCTTGGCTATCTGACCAAATATGAGCATAACTTATACAAACGTTCACTTGAAAATTCCGCTGACCCAAACAAATTCTGGACTTTCTTTAAGTCAAAATATAAGAATAGTGGAATTCCCATGGAAATGACATTAAATAACTCCAAGTTTAATTCATCGTTTGATATTGCGAGTGCCTTTGCTAAATATTTAGCATCAGTGTATGATACATCTGACTACACACATTGTCATTCTCAAAGTACTGAGTGGAGTTCTTTTACCTTTAAATATATCACATAAAATCTACAGGCCCTGATGAAATACCACCCTATATATATATATATATATATATATATATATATATATATATATATATATATATATATATATATAAGGGAATGGCCGAACCCTTGGCTAAACCTCTGGCGTTTTTGTTTAACGTGTCTATTGAACAGGAATATCTTCCAGATCTTTTAAAAGTGGCAACAATTTCTCCAATACGTAAAAAAGATAAAAAAAAATGACATTCAAAACTACAGGACTATCAGCCTGTTAAATAGAATTGCTAAGATTTTTGAAAGTAAAATCAGCAAATTCCAGCATGGTTTTGTAAGAGACAAATCAACAGTAACTAATCTCTGTGTTCTCTCTGAATATATTGCTAAGGCTATTGAGGCAGGGGAACAGTTGGACGTTCTGTATACTGATTGCGAGAAAGCATTTGATAGAGTAAACCACTGTGTTCTTTTAAAGGGTTGGTTGGTTTGTCAAGAAAAGCTTTTAATTTATTAAAATCTTATTTGTCAGATAGAAAGAATACCACAAAAGTAGGTAACTGCTTTTCTCACCAATATATGTCATCCTCAGGAGTCCCACAGGGGAGCAAACTAGGACCATTGCACTTTATTTTATTTATTAACGACTTGCCAGACTGTATTAAATCTTGTAACAGCTTAATATATGCCGATGATTTTAAATTTTTCAAAAAATCTCTAATAAGAAAGATGCAGTCAAATTGCAAGATGATCTAAGATCTGTTATTGAATGGTTTAACGATTCAAAAATGACTTTAATGTTAATAAGTGTGCAGTAGTTTCATATAGCGAAAACTCAATAGTGTTATTGAAGATTATTATATTAATGATGATCGAGTTGAGAGAGTGAGTGTTATGAAGGATGTTGGAGTTAAATTCCAAATCAACATAAAGTTCAATATACAATTTTATGAAATAACTAACAGAGCTTATCGTGCTTTGGGTATATTATTAGAACTTATTAGAAATAGCAAAAATTTCAGAATAAGCACAATTATAAAACTATAATGTCCTGGTGAGACCACATATAGAATATGCTTCAATCATTTGGTCTCCTACTGCATTTTCGAACTCAGAAATGATTGAAAAAGTGCAAAAACGATTTTTAAGATTTCTATATGCAAGGAAAAATAAGAAATATCCATATATGGTGTCATACAGGGTAATGCAACTCATTTCAGTTGCAGTCACTTGACACTAGAAGAAACAGTCAGGCCATTATGTTCATATACTTGATTGTTAACAGTATTAAGTACATAAACTGTAGTTTAACTGAGTTTATTTACTTTAGAGTACCAAAGAGTAGGTTAAGGATAACTAACCTAGATCTATTCTTTACAAATTACTATAGAAACATACCACCAATAAACAATATGTTAATAATTTGTAATGGAGTATTGAATAGACTGACTCATGTAGATATATTTAATGTAAAAAGCTGTGAACTTAAGACATTGCTTGCTCATCAGCACTAGGTATAAGGAGTTGTAATGTATTTTTTTCTTATTGTATTATTAATGTTCGTTTCTTTCATTCATTTATTGTATTTTTTTTGTCTTAAACACTTTAAATGTAATTCCTATTATTAGTCTATAGTGTTTGTAAGGTGTCTAAATAAATAAATAAAAAATAATTTTGCTAGGATATCAGAATAAATCATTTTTTTCCGATTATAGTGCCATCTATAACAATTATAAAATATGTTTTGAATAAAATTTACTTAGTTTGTATAAGGAATCCAAATTTGCAATAAAAAAATTGGGGTTTCTATTTAAGATTTTAAAGTTGTCCCGACCCTCAGGTGATGGGGATGAGAGGTCTTGTTTGGTGTTATTCGATAGGTTTTTGAAAAATATTGAGCACGTTTTTCAGTTTTTTTTATCAGATTAGTACCAGCATTTTCTTTTACCACAGCTTCGATTATTAAACTAGATACTTCTTACCTTTAAATACTACTTCACTTTTTGGTAAATCCACTTGATAACCAACAGATGCCACAGCTTCTTGCATTCTATGATTAGCCTCTAATTCAACTCCGATTTGTAACTGCTTACTAGCTCTTTGGTAGTAACATAGATGAACGCCTTGTACGCCTAATGTGCCTGATATTTGTGTGTTCTCAGTTGAATACCTACAAAAAAAGTAATGAAGTATGTTAATTATTACATTATCTCCAAAAATTTTACTTGCATTACGTACAAATATATTTTGATACGGGTATACTTTCACGTTTCAATGACATGGTGATGGAGTAGAAACATGTTACATTGTTGTCAATACTTTATAATCTTATACTAAGAATTTTGTTTATATGTTTTGTTTTAAAATATATTTGAATAAATAAATAACTTAAATAAACTGTATTTATAAATACATATACTAGAATGTGGCCCGATTCTAACGCATCGTATGATGTTCTACTAAAATCCTTTTAAAACGTTTTAAGACGCCCAAACGGTACACTACAAATAAACTATAGTATACTGTTTCCCACTTAGTAACAAACTTCGGTCTGTTTCCTTGTTCTCCTTGTCAACGGAGATATGATGTAATGCCGGCGCTGGGATTTTCTTTACAGGCAAATATTATTATTTTATATATGTATATATATATATATATATATATATATATATATATATATATATATATATAAATATATATATTATATGTAGCTTTAAAGACTAATAATTATGTTTGAAAAATGCCAAAACAACTGAATAGTGACTGTAGAGAGCTGATTGCTTGTTTAATAGATTATTTTAAACAATAACGAAATAATGACGACCTTTTTATCATTAAATGCTGTAACAGAGGTAAGTTCAAATAATTTAGAATATATAATTTTGTACGACAATGTTTTCTTATGTATTTTATCGGGATGAAGCAGCCTTAAGACTATAAGACTAAGTGTATCTACTGTTAGTAATATTTGTGAAGCTGTTAAAAATAATGAACTTTTAAAATCACTTCCTAAAAAGCAGTATTACAAAAAAAAATAAAACTAATACAGAAGAGTTAGATATCAGTGATATCCATTATGTTATTTACGACAAATGTACAAAGTAAGTAAGAACTTTGACAAATTGACAAATGTAGACAGAATGATTGATCTTGAGAAATGTTTATTAATTATAGTGTTTTCTTTTAAAAAAAACATGTAACCTTAGGATTATTAAGAAAAAACTCGGTTAAGAAGCAGATGCTCGATGGTTCCATTACACCATTATGGAGCTTATTAAAGGAATAATTAACAATTACTTCTCAAGCATAGAAGAATGCTATACAATATTGTGAAAAGGAAATAGAAAAATGGTATAAAAGTGATAACCGACTTCCGAAAATCAAGATAGTGATGATAATGGTTGAAGTTCATCATCATCATACAGCCCTCTGTGTACAAAAGTTGAACATAGAGCTCCCCTAAGGACTTAAGCTTCCTGCAGGCAATTCTCGAGGATTCTTTGACGTCGTCTGTCCATCGTGTAGGTGGTCTACCTCTGCTTCTTCTGTCAGCTGGTTGTCTACAAACTGTAATGTTTTGGGTCCACCGCCCGTCATTCATTCTGGCCATATGGTCCGCCCAGTTCCACTTCAGCCATGCTAAACGCTAAATATTGGTTTCGTTTTTACTTTACTATTCTTTCTTATTATAGATCCGTACTCAATTACACCTAGAGCTAAGATTAATACTATTACAAGAACTAATATTAAACTCAACAGTCTTTCGGGTTGAACGTCGATTATTTTTGCGCCAAGTTTTCGACATCCTCTTTGATGTCTTTTTCAGGGCTTCCCAGGTCTCAGTCTACCGAGCCCCCAGACACTACTAAGGTGATCAATAACCAATGCATTAGCATTTTGCATTTAGCAATCGTTTTGTGATGTTAAATTACCATCTTTAAGTTATTTTTATAAGAATAAACTATTAATTATGCTTATCCACACGTACTCAGTGCTTTACCGCAGAAATATCACAACTAAGAACTATTATGCAGCTGATTTATAAAATGCGATTATCTCGAAAACTGTTGAGTTTTGAAGATATTTTTTAGATACCTTTTTTTTCGTTAAAATAATGTATCTTTAATATTTTTTTTTTGCAAAAATAGCCCTAACTTAAAGAGCAAAAAAGTTAAGCATAAATTTATGCCACATATCCCTCATGTTTCCGCCTTGTATGTGAGGACCGGCCTCAGCAGATACCGACACTGTTTTGTTGAGCATAGGAATTAAGATTTATCCCAATCCCATTTCTAGAGTATATTTATTATAATGCTCTAAAACTGACCGTTTGGTTATTTTTTAGCCTTAATAGCAATACAAATAAATAAGTAAGTAAATAAGTAATATACTTTATTGTCACTGAAAATTGTACAAATTTTATGGACAAAACTTATAAGAATAAGACAAGAAAGAAGAAAACAAAAATCAAAATAAAAATCGTTTGTACTTAAAAAAAAAATAAAATTCTTCCAAACTTAAACATAAAAAATAGTACCTAATTAAGAGCCTACAGACTTCGTAAAATGTACCTAACAAAAAATAAAAATTAGGAAAGCAGATTAATCAATTAAGGGCTCAAATATTCCACATCTTTGTGCTAAACAGTAAACAAATCTGTCATACAGATTTCTCCTCATATTTTGGAGTAGGGCTGGTGTAATGCTTGCAGAGAAATGAAGTATTTTTGCCCTTAATTCGACTAGGTTTGTGGCTCTTTCAAACTGATGCCTATAAATGTTTTCTTCGAAAAAATCAAAAAAAAAAGAAATCGTTTGGCGCTAAGTCACAGGATCTAGTGAGCCAATTGTACCACGTATACTTATAGTCGATCAGGAAACGTTTGGTTGAGGAAGTCAATAGTTGCTCTTGAGTAGCGAGCCGAACACCTATCCTGATGAAAATGAACTTTCTGAAAATTAACGGGAAGGCGTCGAACTGCCGGAATGATCTCATTATGTAAAAGTTGTAAATATTTGGGCCCGTTTAGGTTTCCATCGATAAAAAATTACCGATAATATGGTCGCCTAACATCCCAGTCCAAACATTTAACGTTTGCGGATGCTGCGTTCGCACTGCAACACTGATGTGCTTATTTTTCCGAGAATAATACCTTGCAACGGATGGTGTTTTTTATGTAATGAAAATGAAGATTCGTCAGAAAATAAAATATTATTTAAAAAGTGTACATTTTTGTTCTATTTATCCAACATAAATTCACAAAACTCCATCCACCTAAAGTTATCTTCCGGAAACAGTTCTTGTGTTGGTTGTATCTTAAAACAGAGATACCCATTCCTTTTGAGAGAACTCGCTGGACAGTTCGAGCATTCACGTTAAAATTCCTAGCAGTCTGTACACTATTGCAAAATTAACTAGCTTCCATAAAGCACAAATATCAATATGCCTGTTTTGACGCTCCTCATTGACAGGTCTAACACATGGTTCATTATCTTCATAACACTGTTTACACATCCCGAAGTTTGAAAATGTTTAATGGTAGTTTTAACTGTTGTAACACTTGGTGGGGGTCTATTTTCAAAGGCAACAATAAATAAATCAATTACTTCGCGTATCGAATGACCCTGAAAGTACCATGTTACAAGCTGCAATTTTTCTTGGACGGTATACAACGTAATAGGCATTTTATTAATTAATTGATATGAGGTTGAATGCTCCAATAAATGAACTTTGAAAATTAAGGCAATTATCGAGCACAAGTTCAATCAAATCTTGCCCAAGCACTTTCGCTTAATATAGCATCTTCAGGGGCATTTCGTCAAATATGGGTTATCCAGCAAGCGTGGAATGTGATAAACATGAATGTTAACATAAAATTGTACAAAACACTACACTAAAACAAGGACAAACAGTTTAAAATTAATTAAAAAGATTCTACGCTTTACATTCTTTGTCAGTAGCAGGACCGTTCTCTCTCCTGCTACATATAAACTACAGCAATATGGTAATAATGATATACACAACACAGGGGGTCAGATCCCCGGAAAAGGTAATACAGTGGCAAAACACTTAACGGATATTTCTTAAACTGTCATTTAAAAATCATGAATGTGTTGCTTGTGTGAGTCCATATCCAATAGGTAAAGAAATAATAATAAGACTTACTCACAATCAATTTAATTTAACAATCAGACGACCGGTTTCGCTTTCTACAATTTGCAAAGCATCTTCAGGTCTAGATACAAAGTTAAACTAATGCTGCAATAAAATAAACCCAATTAGGGTGGTGTCTAATAAAGATAAAATAAACAAATAAGTTAGTTCGTACAAATTATAGTAATTATGCCAATATTACATGTCTGTGGTTTTCAAAATGAATAAATTTGAATATATAAAAGGTATTAACAGACAAGGTAAGACCCACAATTGGTATAAAGTAGTAATATTATATTGTAATAAATTAATAAATGAGCAGATAAATAAAACAAAACAAACATTACTTACATGCCGGTACTCTATTAATTGAAGTAAGACTCAATTAATAGAGTACCGGCATGTAAGTAATGTTTGTTTTGTTTTATTTATCTGCTCATTTATTAATTTATTACAATATAATATTACTACTTTATACCAATTGTGGGTCTTACCTTGTCTGTTAATACCTTTTATATATTCAAATTTATTCATTTTGAAAACCACAGACATGTAATATTGGCATAATTACTATAATTTGTACGAACTAACTTATTTGTTTATTTTATCTTTATTAGACACCACCCTAATTGGGTTTATTTTATTGCAGCATTAGTTTAACTTTGTATCTAGACCTGAAGATGCTTTGCAAATTGTAGAAAGCGAAACCGGTCGTCTGATTGTTAAATTAAATTGATTGTGAGTAAGTCTTATTATTATTTCTTTACCTATTGTCATTTAAAAATTTTTCAAATCCATTGTTATCAAAATTTTCCACACTCATGAAGCGTCCCTAGAACAAGCAAATAGATCATTGTTTTTAAGACCTGTAACTCAGGAAGCAATTGTTTCTGTTATAAAAGGGTTCGAAAATAAACAGTAGTGGTGATGATCAAATTTCAACATCAGGTCATTAAAATATGTTTTAATGATATTGCTGTACCAGTAAATATTTCGTTTAGTTCGGATGCATTCTCT